AAGCGTGAATCATCTCCATTCCCTTTGTATTTCATTAGTAAGAATGAAGTTACATTCGACATCTTCTTCCCAAGAAATGCTGCTTTGTGGACCACATTCCCGACTGGATGCTTTCTCGATCGCTACAATCTTGATCACTTTAATTCTAAGGTTAACGGAAACCTTCAATTCTTGCCTTTCATAATACTCATAAAACATCACACAGTAACCCTCTATCTTGAGTGGCTATTGGTGATATTAAGTGAAGATTAATTTTAAAAAACCGAAAGAAAATGACCGAAAATAATGAAAAAATGAACTAGAATAGACAGAAAGCAGAAAAAATATAACGAAACTAAAATTGCCATAAAGGCAGATATGTCTACCTAAAAATCTGTCACTCTTACCAGCGTCTGAATAACGGCAACTAAGCAAATGGTATGGGATCTCCGAGGTGCTGGAGTTATTGCGCTGATATATCTCTCCAGCAACGCTCCAAGACTTCCCCAAAATAAGATACATTTGTTGGATGCGTCTGAAGAGAATATATTGAAGTTTACGCCTTGAACCATTCATGTTTAACTGAATTGGGGGCAGACAATCGAGTACATGGAATCTAGCCAACTCCTGAAATTGGTTGTATCTCATCGGCTCAAATAAACAATTACGACAAGGGACATGGCGAGCCAAATAAAAAAAAGTGTTGAAAGGATCCACAACATAATCTTTGTTTGTTAAAATAGCATGTAATCTATGCTAGGAAATAACAGATTTTAATCGAATTTAATGTCCATCAAAAACGTTAGTAACTAAGGTTTTCTAATCGGTGTCACTTCAGAACGTCGAACGTTGGTGGTTGTTTTTGTTTAGCGGTAGAGGCTATTTAATACCGAAATCAAAATAGTTTGTCAGCCATTTGGTGCATCCGATTTTTTTCTTATTTTTTTAAGATAATAATGGTTTTAGTAATACAAGTCTAATTAAGTGACAGTAAGTCTCCTCAATGTCTTCAATGTCCTTTATGTTGGTATTTATTCTCCCTTTTGAGGCTCTCTTTTTTTTTCGTTGCCGTGTTCTTTCTTTCTATTGCTTATCTCTTTCACTCAATGCATCTTCACACTATAGATTAAGTGACAGTAACTCTTCTCAATACACCAGAATTAGTATTGCACTTGATCCTTACTTTACTCCTGATTTAGCTCCAACCTTTTAACTACTGTTTTTGGAACAATTTTCAGTATTCCAATATTGATCGAATGATTTGGTTTCAACGGCTTATCAACCTTTTGCAGTTTATTTAAAGCCAGAAAATATTTTTTAGAGTGTAAAAAAATTTTTATGGGGTATAATAATGTTTTAGTGATACCAGTTTCACTAATTAATCCGGGAGGATAAGTGGATTCCTATTTTACTTAAGGGTATTTGCACGTAAGTCAATATAACGAACTCAACTGTTATTGGAACTCGGCGAATATTCATTACACCACCCGCACATCCAAGCCTACTGCACCTGGTATTCCCAAGCTGTCCCCCATCTAGGTACTGACCAGGCTCAACATTGCTTAATTTCGGTGATAACATCGAAAGACCACAGTGCCTTATACAAAATCAAGTCTTAATCGATGCCAAGGTATGCAGCAATATAAACAGGAAATGAACCCACCTGAACTTAGAATATACATATTCAAGAAAAGTCAAAGATAGGAAGCTACCAAAACGACTGACCTATGAGGTGTTAAGGCAGGATAAGGGAATAATGCCGAACCTCCGAACCAAAGACCCAAAACCACATAATACTTGATTCGGTTACTTTAGTCTCGTTTACGACGTTAATAATATATCATTGCATCAAGACGGGCTCCAGTTATACTGTCGTCTCTTGCGTAAAATAAATTAAAAACATACCCAACGTCATAATTGAACACAACAGACATGACTATTAAATTCCAAGAAATTCATTGAAGGATATAGAATGAGCAGATTATTGGGTGCAGACCCCGACAGTCAACGATATTGATATTAATTTATAGTGCGTTAAATGTTACCTAATCGGCGCCATCTTTGAATTGGTTTGTGATTAGATGCAATGTTCCCATTTGGTGTATGGGTACAAAACCTTTCAGTCAATAGTAGCTGCGCTCTTACAACATTTGTAAGTGACTACAGCTTGCCTAGGCCGCTGATGTATATTTGGAATTCACATATTAGTATTATACCATTACCCCATGTATAGAGCTTCAACATTCAGTCGTCAAACATAAATTAAACAATTGATTACTGCTGCTCTGCTGTCACAGCTACGCTACCTCGTTTCCTACTATGTAACATAATTTTATCTGATTGAGTTGATTTCTATGGAAAGAATGTTAAAAGAAAGAAAGAAAGACAGAAAGAAAGAAAGAAAGATGAAAGAAAGAAAGAAAGAAAGAAAGAAAAACAAAAAGAAAGAAAAAAAGAAAGGCAGAAAGAAGAAAAAGAAGAAGAAAGTTAGAGAGATGTAGAAAAGAAGCCAAAAGGACATTACAGATCCCGAAGACAAAATAAAGAAGTTTGATTTGTAGTTTACGGTTTATCAACCTTTTGCAGTTTATTTAAAGCCAGAAAATATTTTTAGATTGTGAGAATTTTTGTGAGGTAATAATGATTTTATTGATAAAATTCTTACTTATTAACCCATAGCTGCAGCAGAAGAGATGCATTCATATTTTTCCAAGGCTATTTGCGCGTAAGTAAATATAACGAATCGGACTGGAATTAGAACTCGGATCTCCGATTTCTAATTCCGAGCAATTCATTATACACCCCGCACATTCAAGCTCGCGGCATCTACGTACTGAATAGTCTCGACGTTGGTTAACTTGACTTCCAAATTGAAGAAATGACGATTTGGAGAAAAAATGTATGAAAAGTGAAAAAAAAGTTTTCTTGTGAATATATTGTGGATGATCTTGCGATCAAGGGACTCTCTTGATATTTTCGTCGTTGTAAATTGTTTTCTTCTTTGATCAGAGTAGCACTTTTATGTCGAAAATTGGTCTCCTTACGGTGTACAAACAATTTTTTTTTTAAATGAACCTTTTGTGATCATCAGTAAATTAGCGCCCTGGCTTTTGCAACATTTCATAATTCCTCGTAGAACTTCTATTATCACAGTATGCTATATCTACTCTGAAAAGTAATGGAAAGAAAACGAAAATAATCTAAATGAAATCGACGAGATAAAAAAACAAATAAAATTCCAAGCATCCCTCGTTCGCGCACGCATGTGTAATCACACCAACATAACAAATGAAGTCCTCAAGGACGAAACGCGTCACATGAAAACGTTTTACACTTTGTCATACATTTTTCTCCAATATTATTCTTGATATATAAAAATATATATCATTATCTCAAAGAAATCTTAGTAAAAGAAAAACACCTGGTGTTATTCGTTTAGCAAAAAGAACCTAAAAATTAATACCTAGTCCCTAGATCAAGTGCGTTAATTTAGGATTAGCGTGTTATCTTAGATTATTCTCCATGTGCCATTATCTGGAGAAGGATGAATTAAAACCGCTATGAACCTCTGAACAAATCGATTTTAAAATCTTTGCGAGATTTGAACAGTTTTTTTTTCTTTTCTAAAAGAAAAAAAGGTTTGGGAATAGGAAATTCCTTCAGGATATTTGTGAAGCAGACAGAAAAATGATTTATTCATGGCAACTGATGAAACTTTAATTTATTTCACCCAGATATGAAATTAGTAAAGAAAATAGTTTCAGTATTTCTAATAAAAAAGAAATATCTTCAAAAATGATTTCTATTTTCTAATTAAGCCAATAAAGATTATTGACTCTCATTTGTAAAGCAAAAGAAATATAATCTAGAATATGTTGTATAAATGGATTCTATGTCGTAGAAGATTACATTTTATGCTAATTACATTTTGTGAAATTGGAAAAACGTTTTTATGTATCGATTTTAATTCATAAACCCTTCTCGCATCCGTTTCAAATAGAGAAACACGTCGATGCTTCAAGTTCCGCTTTCTCTTCTTGGCATATTTACTGCTGTTATGGAGGCTGACATTGTTGAATATGAAAGTGTGTCACATGTGTCACATTTCTAATTTTTGTCAGTCAAGAAATAGAATAAAAAATGTCGTGACAAAGTTGTCATATTGACAGTGATAACCGTTAAAACATCTTCAGAAGACAAGTTATAGCATCATGAAAAATAAATGAGCCTATAATTGACAGCTTCGGGTACGAGATATATAAATATGAACAGACTTAGATAGATAGATAGATAGATAGATAGATAGATAGATAGATAGATAGATATTAGCAGACTGACACAGACAAACATAAAGACATGAATAGACTACGATATATACATACACTCACACACACACACACACATATATATATATATAGATAGATAGATAGATAGATAGATAGATAGATAGATAGATAGATATGAACTGATTAAGATAGAGATATATGAACAAACTAACATAAACATGAGCAGATTAAGATAGATAGATAGATAGATAGATAGATAGATAGATAGATAGATAGATAGATAGATAGATAGATATAAACATGCTAAGATATTAAACTCAAACGTTGGAGAGACTGAAAAGGGTAATATATATAAATTCTAATTATCTGGTGTGTAATTGAAGGACAAAAATACTACGTAAAGCGTTTCGACTTTCACAGGGTTTTCTTCAGACTATATGATGTTTTTGTTGTAGGAATCATATATATATATATATATATATATATATGTGTGTGTGTGTGTGTGTGTGTGTGTGTGTGTGTGTGTAGGTCCAACGAAAATATAAACAAACGCCAGTTATAATTTGCAACGAAATGAATCAATAAGAAAACTTCAGAGCAACGCTGAAAATGGTTTATTAGCAAGCGACAAAATAACGATAGGTCTTTTCTTCTTTTATTTTATTTTTAAATACGAATTTTCTTTTCATTTTTATACCATTTGTTCAGTACAATTATTAATAAACGGTGTGTAAAGATTGCGTTGGATAAACTCTTTTTATCGTTTATCTTTGATTCTTAGTTTAGCGGACAGGGGTTCGGATAACTCGCCAATTCCGAGCTATCCTTCTAGCCTCTGTTGTTGCAATACAAAGCCGACTTTTTCAGCCTGCATATTCATTGGAAGATGGAGGTCGTTCTATATTATTTCGGCTGACAAGCGCCTTGGGGTTATTTAGTGAATCAATAATCGTGATGGTTGATGGCTGGAAGCAAGCAGGATCGGTCGACTCACTGAAGCCACTCTGAAGATTGGATGCACCAAAGGGATGACAAAAGTCTTACCTGTTTTGCCTGGATTGTAAGCCACAAAAACAAAAATATGAATTTTTTTTTCTTCTTTTTAAAAACACTTTTTCTATTGGTTCTTATGGCATTTGGATATCAGTAGTGTTAGTAATATTATTGTATCCATTGCATGGAATGAATCCTTTACATCGAGAAAAAGGTTGAAGATGCAAAAACACTTAACTTTTAATGCATAGACTCACTGACTTGATCCAGTAACATATTGCTTTTGTTTTGTCTGTATTTCTGAGATGAGGTATTATGTACATTATTTACATTATTCGGACTATTGTCCTCATCATTGTCGCCATATTTATTACAACGTTTCGGCCGTTGTACGCTCCGGCTTTCTTCAAGTGGTTGGAATGTCGAACGGAACCTTTTATTTTGTTCACTGGTGTAGACTGTTCTAGTACCACAGAACCAAAAAATTGTGAGTTCAATATCCGTTTAAGGCAGTAGAGAACCTTCAGAAGGAAATTAACAGGAGATAACTGATAACTGACATCCATTAAACATGACATGTGGAACTAGAACACTCTACCCCAGTGAGCGAAATAAAGGGTTCAGTTCAACATTCCAACCACCTGAAGAAGGCCGGAGCGTACAACGGCCGAAACGTTGTAATTAATATGGTGACAAAGATGAGGACAATAGAAACCTACTCACTATGAATGTTAAAACGTACACGCTAAGTTTAGCATAATTATAAATGAATTGAAAGAGGGTCTTTACAATATTATAAGTGCATTTTTCAGAATAAAAATGTCAAAATTTTAAGGCTCAAGTTTCCAAATATATGAGTTAGTAAGCATTATTTAAACGCTGATTAGAAGATGATAAATGCATAATTAAAAATTGGCATTTACATTTAAACTTTTTTTAATATGATTTTCACATATTAAATTTAAATTATCAAAAATTTAAAATATACATGAATGAAGGCAGCCTACCATTTTACATTGTTATAATTTATGCAGAAAAATGATTCATGTCAGCATTATTCAATGTGACCTCCATCTTCAGACTTTCTCCTTTTCTATTTTGGAGTGGATTCATTTTGTTTTTCAAATTTTAATTTAATTTAAATCCAAGGGAAAATCAATGGCGAAGGCTGTGCAAAAAATCTTGATCTGATCCCTTTGATATGTATTTGATGCAATTGAATAAATTGATGGGCGAGTTTTAACACTGAATTGCCGTAACAAATATATATTGTAAGGCACTACCTACTGAATGGTGGTATATTGTCTCATTTTGTTCTTGCCTATATGATTTCTATCTACTGACTTTCTTATTCTATATTTTGGATAGGGGTCATTTCCCTTGTTCAAATTTAAACTTAACTTAAATGGAAAACATTTTCAGTGGGTGGTTTGTGCCCCCCCCTCGGGTATACACACTGATTAAAATGAAATATACTTATCCAAGTACACTAGGAGTCATTCCCTTGTTCACATTTAAATTTAATTTAAATCAATAGGGAAAAAATTCTGTGTAGTGGGGAGTGCCCCCAGTGACCCATTTTCATCAAAATGAAATATACTTATCGAAGTACTCTGGGTAACATAGTTTCAGAATACGTATGGTTAAGATGGTCTATATGAACAGACTTGGAGGAGTTCGATAACAAACAAACAGATAGACAGAGGCTATAACTTTTTTATATATAGATTACCCACAATAGATAGATAGATAGATAGATAGATAGATAGATAGATAGATAGATAGATAATGAACAGATATATATATATATATATATAGATAGATAGATAGATAGATAGATAGATAGATAGATAGATAGATAATGAACAGGATAAGCTATATATATATATATATATATATATATATATATATATATATATATATATATATAGAGAGAGAGAGAGAGAGAGAGATAGATAGATAGATAGATAGATAGATAGATAGATAGATAGATAGATATGAACAGACTGATATCTAGTTGGCTAGCTAACGAGATAAATATGAATAGACTGAGATGGATAGACCTCCCAACCCTCGACAGCAATTTTTTTGAACCAGACATTTAAATATCTCTCTTCTCACTTAATGACTTCTTGTTTTTCCTGAAACCATAGAACGTTATATTTTATTTCGCTAATAAGAAACCACATTGTTCGTACATAGAGATTCTTTCCAAGACAAAAATGTATTAAAGTTCGGGTTT